TGCAACACCATCTGTAAACAAGGGAGTGGCCGTACTTCTGGAGGCACTCATCATAGAAACCATAAACAGAAGATATTTTACGAGATTCATGATTGCCACGTAGTAGCGTCATTCGATCGGGGTACCTAGAGATAAAAATTTTGAAACAAAGAGAGAGGTTATTGATTGTGAAAATACAAATACGCGCCAATCATTCTTCGTACGTTTACTCAGCGAGTTTGCCAAACAAACTATAGGGCATCTCGTTCTTGCAACAATTTATTTGATAATGGACGCGAAATAATTTGCAGACAACGCAGATCTTGGAAAATTCTCTCCAAACACTTTTCCCTCACTTTGAACCCGAAAGAATTCAAATGTATGACCGATAAACGCTAGCTCGCTTATCACTTTCACAGAGAAATAAAAAGTGACACGTCTTTTGCATTCAAAGGTACCGTACAAGAGTAGAGGAAGCGAAAAAGTAGAAATCTGAAGAAATCATCTCCGATCTTTGGTGCCGAAAAATCAAGAGAAACTTGTGAAAGTCCTCAAAAATAGGTTTCCTTTTTCCAAACGATACATAAATCATAGAACTTATCATGAGCAAAAAAAAGAAGTGAGAACTTCCCGCTATTCCGTAAAGGGATTACTAAGATTGTCTTCATACTTCACTGAGGATTGGCCAATTTATAGGATATCTCCAGACTTCAGAATCGGCCGATTCTTATAAGCGCAATAAGGATCAGCCGATCGTGGACGCAACACGGCTGCGTTCAGAAACGATCAATATCAGCTGAAATGCAGCCCAACTTCCAGCTATGTCGCTTTTCTTCCTCAGACTTCTTTTGCAAGCAAGTTGAACAGAAGGCTGTGGAAAAGTGCGAGCTTTCAGCCATCTTTCGAACTCCATAACAATGAGCACTGTATATGTACACAAAAGACAGAATCTACTGTACTAACAAGGGAAGGATACTTAGTGGCCGTGGCCGTTCAGAATGAGATGTATATTAGAAGAATG